TGGGAAACTGTGCTTAGTGGAGTCCCCCAGGGTACAGTTTTGGGGCCAGTGTTATTCCTCCTGTACGTAAATGATCTCCCTCGTCTACTATCGTCACCGGTCTTACTCTATGCTGATGATGTCAAGATATGGAGAGCGATACAAAGCAAGGGCGATAGCTTAGAACTTCAAAATGACCTGGAGAGATTATCTGAATGGTCCCAAACCTGGCAATTGCCGATAAACACTTCCAAGTGTATTGTGATGCATATTGGCCATCAGGGTACAGATACATACACGATGAATAACACTGAGTTACCTATTGTTCAGGCACACAACGACTTAGGCGTCATCGTCAGTCAAGACTTAAAGACTACTGCACACTGCCGTGCAATAGCCGCCAAAGGTTTTAGGACTTTATGGTCCATACGCCGGGCTTTTAGGCATGTTGACGCTAAAACGTTTTTGACTTTGTATACAGTGTTCGTACGCCCTAAACTTGAGTACTGTATACAAGCAGCTAACCCCTGCCTAAAAAAGACAGTGAACTCTTGGAAAGGGTTCAGAGAACAGCAACTAGGCTGATTCCCGGAATAGCGAAGCTCCCGTATGGTACTAGACTGACCAAGCTAAACCTATTCCCGTTGTCATATAGAAGAATCAGAGGTGACTTGATTAATGACAAATTTGCACCTGATATGCCCTCATTTTTCTTGTCTTTCAAAACAGAAAATCTACGAGGACACTCCAAAAAAGTTCACAAGCCCAGAACGAATTACTTGTCAGCTGACTACCGACTTTCCCATCGAATAATCAACGAGTGGAATTCATTATCTCAGCACGTGGTTGAGGCTCCATCCGTCGACTCCTTCAAACGAAAGTTGGATCAGCTGAGAGACCATCATTGCCAGGACTAACACAGGCCATCAAGCCTCCTGTCCTTTCCCAACTGAAACTGAAACTTATTGCGGTTCATTCAAATGCTATACGTTACGAAAAATTGTCTACAAATATCCCCCAAATATACGAAGTAAGGGGGAAAAATCAACTTTTCCCCTAAATAACCGATGTGCAGGCAAAAAGGCGACATTTCCCCTTTATTTACGCTTTCTTCCGCTGTATTTCCCCTTTGTTCGCCTTTATTTCCGCGTTATTGGTTGTTTGGGTATTAGGTCCACTAATCAAATTATTGTCCAGACAGCAGTACACGGAACTCGCAGTCGCTCAGTTGTCTCATTATAAAAAATTTAGTAAGGACGGTAGAAAAACCGGACTGACAAACAGTTATGCTTTCCAGGAGTACAAAATGAGTGACGGAACTCCTGCATAGTACATAACTTGGCTATTACGTCAATATCTGTAGTGTCATATTTAGGTAACTCGAAGACAGCGATACGCTGTTAGTTTGCCGCTTCACCTAGCCACTTGTACAACCCTTTGGAAGTTTCTCTTAAACCTAAGCATTCGAAAAAATATGTATTTGTGATACTTTTATGAACTAATGATTGTTTTGTACTTGATTCATGGTTGAATTTAAATGCTAAATGCAATACGTCCGTTTGTGTTCATCTAGTTCTGTTCGGCTAAATTTGCACTGTTCCAGGAATTCGTAGTTAATACAATAATTCGAATAGTTTCAAGCATCATACCACTCATTTGTATCTCCTCTTTCTAGTACAGTATATCGTAAGTGCAATTTGAATAAAAACACGTCTAACTATGCATTTAAAATTTTCTGTAACCAATTATTGGATCCATGTTAAGCTTTGTTACAATGCACTCGTTAATTCACGAAAAAACTAACATGATATATACGGAAACCGAAAATAAATGACAAGAAATTACTATTATTCGGAGAAGTCCAATCACTTGGTTTAGTTGCTGCATTATGAAATGACCAACGTAACTGGATAAGTAAGAGAATATAGAAGACGAAGTTGGTTACTGTCCAACGACCCATTATTAATTATTTTAGTCTTGTAAGTTATGGTTATAGCGTTCACAATCGGCCAGACGTAACAGTGGCGACGGGGATTTCGGCAAATAATAAAACAATTGTCGACGGGGATTTTGGCAGAAAAAAACAATTGTCGTCGAGGATTCTGGCAAGAAGAAATACAGCAATCGAGACGTGATTTTGGAATCAAACAAGCTGTAATAATTGCCGGCGAATTTTCGGAGTTATTATTATTATCAGTAATAAAAAATGACGATTTCTCTAGAACAGACGCTGATAATATTAGAGCACCGGCAACAGCAGATGTTAGCAACTATTTGAAACAGTTTTAGATAATTTTTTCACCAAACAAAATGTTTCTGGAAATAAAGAATTTATTTGTAATGCAGATAATGGTGCAAATATGGCCGTCTCAGAAGAACACCCAGTTGAGGGTTCAGTTCCCTTCATATCTGATGGAAAAGGCAAAATGGGTAAGTTGGCCGGTTCAGAGCAAGACAATATCTTGCTGAATGCACATGAAACTGTGACAGTATCAGATGACAAAGAAAAAGAAGGTTCCGTAGACAAAGCCCCGAGTCTAAAGTCAAAGGAAGCACCATTGAATCCGCCGATCTCTGAAGACAAACTTTAGTCAGAACTAAACTACGGGTTACATGATATCGGCCAAGAAAGCTGGAATGGTGCACATAACTTTGATGAAAATTCTTATGAAGATAAGGAAAATAAGTCGGTTGAATCAAATGCTGATCAAAAACCTAAGGCAATTTTATTAGATGATGATTCCCCTAGTTATCTAATATCCTCTAGTGAAAATCTTAATGAATTTGATGGAGATGTTTCAGAAAAGCCAAATTCCGATGACCTAAAATCAAATATCGTTCATAATCATCTATTCATTTCTAATGGATTCTGCATTCAATACGAGAAATGTGTTCTAAATAGTCATATTAATTGTAAATTGGAGATATGAAGATCCAACATTATTTCGTGGGGGAGGAAAATGTTGGAGAATTTTCAAATTACAGATTATTTAAAAAAAAATCAGAATCTAATCTTCGAATCTCCAAAAAAGGGGAGGTGTTAAGTCGGCTTACAGTAAACGCTATCAGAGCCTCATAAAGAGCCCCAACCAATCAGCGACTAATTAGAAGCTATGCTATTAAAATAGCGAGGTCCTGATTGGCCGTTTAACATATTACTACTATAGAAACTCAAGGTCTCTTAATTACTATAAAACCCCTGTTTTTCTGTACATAAATGAACCTTGTAGTAAAGTACTTCTCTCATACTCGTGTCTTCTCTCTGGTCTTCAAGTTGCTGTATATTTCTAGCTCGGGAGTACGGAACTAGCTTAGGGAAGCAAATATAGCGTTCACAATCGGCCAGACGTAACAACGGTAATATATGTAATAAACACGTTGCTTGAAGGGAACACATACTTCTTCTTAGGTGTACATTCTCTAGTTCGTTCACAGCTTCCTACTGATTACCAGACAATTCTCAATCAAGTAAAGTGGAAACGTACGTGATTTTCATAATCTTCATGAAAATAAGATGCACCTTACGACCGAACCGTATCCACCTATGTTTTTCTTAAATAGGCGTTTCAACTTGACTATCGACTGAATTACTCCTGCTTACTCGAAGTATTACCACTTTCCTGTGTGTTACAGTCTTGTGGAAATCTATTGTGACATATATGGTCAAATCCACCAGTCTCGAAGTCGGACAAACCAAAGACTGTGCGGGAATGCCTAGTTTGATCATATTAAAGTTAGTAGCACAACAGAAAATATGCAGATAAAGCACCAATCCACAAAATCAGTGACTGTTTTACAAGGCTACTTGGGGCGGTGCAGATTTTCTAGATTAGATCTGTTTCGAGAATTCAGGTGACACGGCTCAAGATAGTCCTCAAGTCGAGGGGAAGTATACATTATCTCCGAATCTTGAGCTCTACTATTATTAAGTACGTTCCACTGATTATTCGCGACTACATTCTCTGTTTCCAATTTTGACTAACATTGGTACCTGTTAATTTCCTCTCACTATGTTCATGTTAATTTCGCTGAATAGGATCGATACACGATTGTCCCAATTCTAGGTGTTTACCATAGACCCAGAATTACAGGACTGTTATTTATTTCAGTGGCAGGTAAGCATTAACAATACAAAAACACCAACTCGAAGACGATTAAAGTCACGATTTCCAGCGCTTCCATGTTTTCAACGGTGTCCTAACATTGATCAATTCATGATCTCAAGCAAAAACCCGACAATCCCCATAACCCCATACTGATAATTTATTAGATGCTTATTCAAAGTGATCTATTAGCATTGATCGCCAGTTATTATTGCAAGAATTTGAGACGTGAGATGAATTGTTTGAAGGTATCTAACCTGGGTTTTTATCGGTTGAAGTTTGACGGGAAGATACCATATTCACTAACCGACCAGAATTTATGAAATGCTGAAAGAAATACTGCCCTAGGTAAGAGTAATTATTCTCAATAGATGTAACATAACAATACTGCTTGATGCCATTCATACATGGACAGGAAAAGATTCAAAACCCACGGCAGATCAACTCTTATCAAAAGAAAAAGCCTTTAAAAATCAAAATAGTATTATGACATACCAGCTGTATTAAGCGTGCGGAAGCTACCAGTTTTTTTCTGACACATGGTCCCCTAGTTTAAGACCTGATTGACTACAAAAAAAGGTATCTGTCGAATAACCTAATGGTAATTTACAACCAGAGTACACCTGGTTTCGTAAGAAAAACTATTTATACTCTTATCTACAACAAGCTATCAATTGTAAGTAGAGATGGATACTGGCTTGCAGTTGAATCCAGGACGCGCGTTTCGTCCTATTTGGGACGCGCTGGGTGTACCTGCATCTCAGAGTTGATGTTCACTCTGGGACTCGAAACCCAGTACCTTTCGCTTCAAACGCCATCACGTTATCCACTCAGCTACTGAGTCCTGATAGTCACTTGCTTGTGTGTTGGAGTGAAGTGAGGCAATATGCACAATATGCCAATTAGAGACTGACCAGCTGCAGTCCTAAAAATCAATGGGAAAATTCAAACAATACCAAGTGAATTTTAACAAGCTATTAAGTTGACTCAACTCTTAACATCCGCTTTCGATCCACCATGTAGTGAACGCACTAACCGTTCATTCAGACTTTTATCATAAATTGGAATAGCATAAAGTTCATTTGGATTTCCGTTGTTTTGCTCCTATTATAACCCAAAAAAAGTTAAAGACAATGACTTGATAACTCTTCTCGACATAGTTTACATTTTGAACTGTAAAATCTTTTTACTTTGCTTTATTACAGTACATTAAATTATGCATATACTTCTATCTGCTATATAAAACATACATCAGGAGTTAATCACTGTTAGAAGACAACAGTATAATTAAACAACCTGTAAATGAAGAAATCAAAGAAAAACTATAGATATTTGACTTTAAAATTCTAGGGCGATGAATCGTCAAGTAAGAAACGTTCGTATTCATACAAATGAGAAAGGAAGGTAGTTTGTAGCATGAACATAGTTGGAAAAAGGGGACAATAAATCCTAAGTACAAAATATTACTACACAAAAGAGTATGAAGAAATTTTGATCCAATTTGTGCCACTTAATTATCCGGAATCTGCCATGACTATTCGTGGCAGTTTCGATGAAGTATATTCTTGTGTTTCATTGGTACTAACCGTTCTGACAGAACTTTTAGGTACATCATTTGTTGGTGACTGTCGTTCTTTCGGATTGTATGCGTTACTATACGTATTACAAAGATACATATAACCCAAGTAAGTATCCTTATATGAGGAATTATAGTAGGTTTGAGATGTTTTCATGACAGCTGAACGTAAAATACCTTTTAGACTGGATTCAAGTGAAAGTATGCGTGAAATTTTTGTTACAGAATGATCGTCTGATGGTACCAACGAGCAGTACTCTCCTACAAGCTATTAAAAAAAAATTAGAACAAGCATTAATAGTACTAAAACAGTATTCGGATATTCGTATTAAAAAACCCATGGCAAAACAGTTTAAGTGATTTTCCTACAAAAACAATAAAACTACGAGGAGTGTAGATTTAGAAATTAAATTTTTTGTTTCTTGTTAAGTATTTTACTAATGACACGAAAAAGAGTCTATGTAGGATTACACTTTGAATGAGGAACATTTTAACCATTTACTCTAACGAACCTTGAACTAACAATTCACTCACTTTGCATCCTGATTTTCTCTACGTTGATTTGGTGTGCACAGAATCACCATGCACATGGAAAATTAGGTTGGGTAATACTTATTTAACACTACTTTGTCTTAGGAATGCACCATGTGCTAAGTAGCTCAAGGCGCCTTATTTTGACAAAACACTTCAAAAAGGTGGAAAACCATTATAGACATCATAAATACTTCCTTGAGGATCGGCCTCTTAAATAAAGCTTCATTTATGGAAATTGCTTCCTTGTTTCAGATTCAGAAGACGATACATAGAAATTCTTCGAACCAAACCATAAACCTAGGAAATACATTTTAAAATTTCATGGCGTGACACTTGGGTTTGCACTCTAAAAACTAAAGCAAGTTGCTTTATCTATTCAAGTTATTTGGCGAAATACTGTCAGTTACGGAGTCGTCAGTTTTTAATCTTCGAAAACGTTAGTTTCCAAGTATGACACTATCTACTGATTGATACTTGTTAATCATATTAGTGAAACAATCCCTAACCAATATATGGCATACATATGAACTCAGGAAAAACACCCGGGGTCTTGGACCATCTACTTATCCCAATCAAGAAAGATTATGACAAACCTACAGGTATTAGACTTGAACTCAGTCAACGACAACGTAGGACCAGACACATATATGCACGGTCCAAGTTGCCATACCTCGTTAGCACAACAAGATGAACACCAGATTCATAGAAGTAATTATTTAGTGGTGGTAGTATATAAATTATAGGTTGTATATAAGGATATAGTATAGGAAGGAAGAATGTTATGTTTATTTATTATATTTATTTAAACACATATATATTGGTACAAAAGGGCACCAGGTACATATGCGCCACACAAAATAATGAAAGTAGGAAAAGAAGGGATGAAAAGATAAGGCGGACTGAAATGTACAACCAGAAGACTCTTTCAGTTAAGAAGAACGTTATGAAGCAATTTTAATCTCAAGGTTTAAGGGAAGATAAAGAGTGTATACACCTACGCCATTGTGATCGATTCTGAGCCATGTCACCCAGAGTCTCCAACCATTTATTACGATAGTCACGCGGACCCCAACCAGGTAGTCTGCATCTACCCACATGGCTCAGACTAGAAGTTAGTAACTTCAAGCATTGATGTCATGTTTTGGTTTGGCCGCCCCTAACTCTCTTCCAACCATCCCCTACACTAGTCAGCATTGCGCGTCGTGTAAATCGGTGTTCAGGCATACGTAACACGTGGCCCAACCATCTCAGTCGATGAAGATTCATCACCTCATCAACTGATTTACCATCATTCCCTAATACCCTGTGTCTAACCTCATTATTACTTACCCGGTTATCCCAGCAGATGCGAGCAATACTTCTAAGGCATATGTGATCAAATACTAGTAACCTACGAGTATCTTCTACTCTTAATGGCCATGTTTCGCAGCCGTAAAGTAGAACATAACGAACTGCTGCGCAATATACTCGTCCCTTAATTGATAGACGGATATCTCATCTTCGCCATAGGTGACATAAGTTGGCAAAAGCCAAACGAGCTTTCTGAATCCGTGCTGAGATTTCGTCAGACACCAACCCATTAGGGCTGATCAGACTTCCAAGAAAAGTGAAGTTGTCGACACGTTCGACTACTTTACTCTCTATCCTTAGCTTAGGTGTTGACGCAGGCCAGTCCTGGAGTAACAATTTACATTTGGATGGGGAGAAACGCATCCCAAACATCCTGGCATTATTACTCAGTTCTAACAGAAGAATCTGCATTTTGTCAGCGTCTTCACCAAACAGGACTATGTTATCTGCGTATTCTAAGTCGATAAGTGAATCTCCTGGTAGAAGATCAATTCCTGAAAATTCAGTCGACGAGTGTTACTTCCAGCAATAGGTCTATAATGAAGTTAAACAAAAATGGGGGTAGTGGACAGCCTTGACGGACACCACTTGAGGTTGTAAAGTCAGGTGTCAGTTCTCCATAAGCTCTCACTCGACTGGTAGTGTTCGAGTAAAGGGCCTTCACAAGATTTATGTACTTCTCAGGTACACCTTTCAATGACAGACACTGTCACATAATCTCTCGGTCTACAGAGTCAAATGCTGCTTTTAAGTCAAGAAAAACTATCATTGTCGGACGCCGATAAGCATGTCTGTGCTCTAAAACTTGACGAATGGTGAATATGTGGTCGATACAGCCACGACCAGGTCTGAAGCCAGCCTGATTTTCTCGTGTTTGCAGTTCACGAGTCTTAGTTAGGCGCCCCATAATTATTGAGGCTAGTATTTTAGATACTATGTTAGTCAGACTAATCCCTCTATGGTTATCACAGGATGATGTTGGCCCCTTCTTATATATTGGGACAATCAGAGATTGTGACCAGTCGCATGGGATTACGTCCGTTTCCCAGATTTTAGCTAGATTAGTCAACCTAATCGCTAAAATTGGACCACCATATTTAAAGACCTCTGGAGCCAATCCATCTGGACGAGCTGCTCTTCCTTGTTTCAGATTACTTATAGCCTTTTGAACTTCAAGTACGGGTCAGGGGGCCTACTTCAATGTTCCATTCAGGTTTTCTGGGAATAGTGGGTAGTTGTGCAGTAGCTGAAGGCCAGCTAAACTGCTCCTTAAAGTGTTCCGCCCATCGTTCTAAACGTTTGGGTTGAGAGCAGATAAGGGTTCCGTCTTTTTCCGAGATTGTCTCACTTACACTTGACTTCTTAATTCCGGTTTCTTTTATTAGTCTGAATAGTTGCCTGGTGTTGCCTACAGCCGCTGCCTTTTCCATCTCTTTTGCTTTCGTTGCCCACCACTGCTCACGACCGTTCCTTGGACTTTTAGTTAACCTAGATCTAATTTGTTTACGCTCTTCGTCGTGTTCAGAGCCTGAAGGGATCAGTTTACGCGAATCCATCAGTGAAATAGACCTAGAAGAAATCCACTGGTTTTTTGGAACCCTATGGTTTAAATAACTAATAGATGTTACTGATGTTTCCACAGCTGTTCGTATGTCTTTCCAAGCAGCATCTGGGTCAGTCTCGTTTACAGAACTGCCTAGATGTAAACTCAGTTGTTTCTGTGACTTACTTCTGACTTTCTCGTCCCCCAGTTCAATTCTAATGGGTCTTCTTAGTATGTCTTTTCTGCTTCCAGTGAGGCGCAAACAAATGCACGCTCGTATTAAAGCGTAACTAGAGTCTGATTTATTATTTATTTATTTATTTAAACACATATATTGGTACAAAAGGGCACCAGGTACATATGCGCCACACAAAATAATGAAAGTAGGAAGAGAAGGGATGAAAAGATAAGGTGGACTGAAATGTACAACCAGAAGACTCTTTCAGTTAGGAAAGTTAGAACCATTCTTTATGTAGAAAGTAAAAGAAGGTTGCAGCAGGATCGCCACTGGCTTCTATTCTGAGCCATATCTGATAACGTCTCTAGCCACTGTGTTGCACCATCTCTCGGACCCCAACTGAGTCTGAACATGTATTCCATTACGAGCGACAACCTTCTATTGAGCCTCTCCAACGATGACTGATGACAATATGGTCTATTTGAGTCCATCGTTGGTTTGGTGAAGGTGGTCGCCATGTTAGACGATGTCTCTCCTTATGCTTAAAATTAGTGCTTGCTAAAAATAAACGATTGTCTGAGCATAGTTGCAACAGACGATCACCATTATCGGTTCGTTGAGCCGGAATACTAAAACACTCACCTAAATGTCTTTCTGTTTGATTTAAGCTGCTTACCTGGGCATTAAAGTCACCCGCTACGACTACTATGTCTGAGCGCTTAGCTTTCTGAAGAAGCTCAGAGAGCTTTCTGTAAAAGTCATCTTTTACTTCATCATGGCTGCAGTCAGTGGGAGCGTAGGCAGAAACGACGAAAAGGCAACGACGTGTGTCCCTATCTTTCCGAGTTCTTACGGAGCCATTTAGCCGAACAGCACACAGGCGACTGTTAACGGGGATCCATTCTAATAGTGCCTGTTCTGCCCTTGTACTTAGTGCTATACCTACACCTGCAAGTCCACGAGAACTAACCGACGGGTCGCCAGATACACGGAGGGTGTATTTCGTTGGCTGTCTATTTTGGCGAGGTGAGGTCAAGTGAATGACCACACTGGGATCCTGTATGCGTATTTCGGAGACACAGCGTACATCAATGGTACGAGATTCTAGAATCTTAACCAAGGAGGCCTGTTGACCGATTTGACTCAAAGGACGTACGTTGAAAGCTCCAATGTGTAGTTTGGAGCGAGGTTTAAGTAGACCTGGGACAGCGTTTCGCGCACTAGAATCGTTGGCCATGGTGACACTTGAGGAGGAAACCGGAACAGGAAGTTTAGTGTTGAAAGTCAAGGTAGAAGGAATAGTAGGAAATGAAGGAGATTGATTATGAATACAGTGGTCTTGAGTGCTGTTAGAGGTATGAGGGCAGTTATCACTTCCCGGTTGCCCACACCGTGGAAGGGTTCTTCTAGGGGTACCTGAAAAGGAAATTGGGTTAGAAGTGGTCTTAATGACCTGAGAGCGTGACCGCAGTGCCCAAGGTACAACTGCTTGAGGTCGGTCACACACGACCTTTTTGTGGGTAGTTTTTGTGTTAGCTTCGTTCTTCAAAGGACCTTACCGCCGGAGACGGAAATCCGTGGGATAAGGCGAGGTGTGCATTTTTAGGGTCGACCTTTTCTAACCCCACCCCTCCTTGTGGGAAGGCAGCATCGCTGTCATGCTGGTTGTCTGAAGGAAACACCTTACTGCCGTCACACCTCTGTACAGTCGGCAGTACGACTTCGCCTTCGGACCTTGGGATTGCTGCTTTTAGTCTTACCGCTCTTCAACCGACCTGTCTGGCATGGTAGGACCTTGAGGAACGATTGTTCCAGCCAGCATAGCTCGGTTGCTTCATCACGATAGGCAAGCCCGACCACCACGTCAAGGTAGCAGCAACGGAGTTTTTAACTGTTATATCCCACCGTAGTCTGCGATGTATTTTAGGTCATTTCGAGGAAATATATTACTTCCAGTATATCATGATTGTTTCGAGGTTTTGTTGGCATATTTTGGTGAGTGTTGAACTTCTACTCTCACAGAAACAGAAATGAAGTTGAATGGGTAATTAGCATAAGTATTAACTCATGGCCTGAAACGCACTTCGTCTACCGTAGTCTAAGAGGATGAATAGCAGTGTTAAGTAGTTGGGTCGGTAGAAAATATGTTAGTTCCATGTAGTCACTTGCCTTCATAAATACTACAACTTGTTTCAAGCTAGGTAATGCAAAGTACAAACAAAAAGATAGCACCTGACATACTATTTTGTATATCTTTTGGAGACGTGAGAGGCAATTACATTGCATTTTAGTATCAAACATACGACTGATTAAATATACGAACGTAACTAACCTGATGCACAACTTTTGCAACTGAAGGTGAGTAGTAGACACCGACTATTGTGAAAGATTTGCAAAGTGTTTTTTTTAGAATCTCGACTAGCATTCTATAATTGGTCCTTAGAACTTATTGTAACAAAATCTTTGGTGTTGAGTAAAATAACCATTATGAGGTGGTGACTTATGTCAAATGCAAATACCACGCTGACACACTCATAACAGAAGATTTCGACATACATCTTTAGGCTTACCAGGTATTTTTTATAAACACCGAAATTTTTGGAGACGACATCGACACGTTGACCATTAACGTCGATAATGGACTCTTCAACGACCGACACTTGACCTTTTGGAAAAAACTTAAGCAACCAAAATGGTATCCTCTTTGATATTTTCTTAATTAACAACCGTTTAGTGTACAACCTGCCATCTGATAGGAGATACCTTTCCAAAACATCCTCGGATAAAACGTGCTTTCTAATAAAAGATACTCAGTAAGAGACAGGAACATACGCATGAGGATTAGGATACCGTCTCCAAAACAGTGAGGTAACAAATTCCCAAGGGAATGACAAGTAATGCGTAACATGAACTGTCATCACAAAGACGGATGACGCAAGCGTTCGTAATAGCCGCCTAAGCGTTTAAGGTGGTGACCAGTGGTGTTTGGATGCTGTAAGTCACCAAATGGGGTCGAATAAAACTGTTAACTGTACATTTATAGCGTCAAAACGGCAAAAAAATGCTTTCCAGAGTTAGAAGGGCGAGTTTAGCTCCAGAAGCACTCTTATCGCAGTTAGCGTAAGGCTTCAGATCATAGGGTACCAACACTATTAAGTCATTTTCAACTCGTGATAGCCCTGGAGGAAGTTATTTAAGTCGTATGCGTAATCCGGATTAATTTTTACCTTGAAGCGCCAGAGGTAATTCCGTTGTTATCCGCCCAACTTTGAAGTCCGATCAGATCCTCCCAGAGCGTTGTAGCTGTAAATAATTCCATAAAAACAATAGCTTTGTAAGTGTTCGACATTGGATGCTGACCACATTAGTTTTAGTGGACTTGTTTAGTTGAAGGCGTTCGGTCATACATCCGCACCAGATGACGTTACAGCACATTGTGTGAAACATCTCCTACGATCATTTGCCAGATTAGAATAATCGCTTCTCGATATATTGATAACGCATCGAATATATCTTCCGACCTTTTCGCTCCTGACTTCTGATTTTGACTGAGTGGGGCACGATTCGCTTATAGAGGGTGTTACTGGTAAAGAATTGTCAAACTAGAATGCTGATGGTATCCTTCAGTGTCAACTGGTCATATTGGTGGCGAAATTCTCCAAAGTTCAATATCGTCTCTGAAATGTGATGAATCGGAAGACACTTTCTGAGAAAGGTCATTTATATAGATTAATAGAAGAAGAGATCCTTTAGTGGCTGTTTATCTAATTTTATTTGGACTGTATACAGATTGTCATCGAAATATACATGTTGCATATCCTCGTTTATAATTGTCGACTTAATCTGCGCTAGCGAGAAACGGAAGTAAACAAGCCAAATACGAGAATGGATTTTGAATATGTATATTTCATGCACCCATTGATTTTGACAAAAAATCAAGGAAACGAAACGAAGAGGAGAGAGTGTAGCGGGTCTGAGAAGGCAAGTGAGCTAACTCAATTTATTCATGCGCTGCTCAATATTTATAGTCGGATCAAAAATAAGTTACAGATATATGATGAATAGGAAAAGCAAGCTACACACATAAGATCAAATAAAAACAGTCAGGATTAATAAGTCAATAAGTGACAAGGTCAAAATGTGGCTTGAGAACAGATTAGTCTGTTCAGAAGCCTGCACAGCCTTTATTTGCAGCAGAGTGTTTGTGAGCAGTTATCAATGGGTCACGTTATGTGTATTTACAGATGGAAACGGAAGGTCAAGGGTCATGTTTTTAAACGACAATTTTACAGGCAACAATGGTAATTGTGAAAATTGTAAGAATTGATGAAAAATGCAAATACTAACAAAAGTAATTACAGAAAAAAGTCTACTTTGAATATCCCCCACAGTCCTAGTACTAAACCACGGGGAACTCCACTAGAATATTATGTAGCTTGAGTAAAATCCAACTATTCAGACATAAAATAAACCAGTCTATTAACGATGGCTTCATACCTAACGGATTTTGCTCGCTGCTGAGATATATTTGACTGACCATATCGAAGAATCTAAGAAATCAAGTTATATAGCATCAACCCTCCCCCTATGATCAAGAACGGTTTTTCATCTATCGACCGCAGTCAGCAGTTTGGCCATACAGGGGTGGCCCTTCCTGAAAACGTGCTATTGGGGCGAAATGAGGTCCATGGATAGAAAGTGGTCACATAAATCGTCGTATATCAGGGTCTCCATGACTTTTGAGGATAGTGTAGTGAACTCAACTAGACAGTAGCGCCTGTGACAAAATTGGATTTTTTTACTAATGACTCGCAGATATCAGATACAAGTGCAAGTGCTTTTTGCTAAGACCAATGTTCCTGCCACTCATTATTCTATAACTGTTCTCATATTTGTTACTAAGTTTTGCTTGTGGCGTTAAAGGAACTATGAAGTGAAACTATCTACGGTTTGAGATTCTCGATAGCATCACGGATAACCCTCTGCCGTTCACGAGTCAAACAAGTATTGAGTGCCATTTGCTTTGGTTAACTCCGCAAGAAGCTGGTCTTGAGTTACTGACGGTCCCAATCCTGAATAAAGGTGAAGAGTTGGGCGGGGGGGTCCTCAACACCATCCCGAGGAAAACAATCCTGCTAAAAGCAATGCTAACTAGAGTAAACAAATTAAATCCCGTAAACTCTGTCCGAGCTGAAGGAGGAATTATGACAACTCATGGTGAAATCTGAAATTCTTCGGAAGTCACGAGGCCGATGCTCATTCTGACAATCAGAGGAACAATTTTTGAGGGGACATGGAATCGCCGAACAATAAAGAAAACTGGGAGGTCCAATGAAATAGCTAAGGAAATGAGTAGATACAGTATAGCGGTTCTGTCCCAAGCTGGGCAGAAACATTTAGCTTAGGGAGACATGCTGCTGTACTCCTGTCACGAAAAAGAAGCTGCTTCACACACTCACAGTGTTGCCCTGATTCTATCCAAGAAGCGCGTAAAGTACTTATAATATGGAAATCGCATGGATCCAGAATCATCCGACCACCCTTCAAAACGAAGAAAGGGAGAATCACAATGAATGTTACCCAATCTTATGCACCCATCAATGATAGCAATGAAGGCGATAAAGATCGATTTTATGAGAGGTTGCAATCGATCATAGCTAAGTGCTCAAGAAAAGGACCTGACCATCCTGATGGGAGATCTAGACAAGTGTCATCGACAGATTGGAGAAATGGTCGTCTCATCAAGAATATCTGGGCAAATGTTAGAACTATAGAGGCATCACACCACTATAGGTACCAGAAAAGGTTTTCAAAAGAGTGTTGTTGAATCGGATGAAAGTATTAAGTGAACGTCCAACTTCAAGATCAACAGGGTGGATTCCGTAAGGATCTTTCGTGAACAGACCAAATCGTGACATTACAGATCATCGTTTGATAATCAATTAAATGGAGCTCGTCACTACACGTCAACTTCCTTGACTATGAAGAGTTGTTTGACAGAGTGGATAGGAGGACCATAGGTAAATTTCCCCGACCGTTGCTACTACCTTGATGTTGTGGTCGGGCTTGCCTATCGTGATGAAGCAACCGAGCTATGCTGGCTGGAACAATCGTTCCTCAAGGTCCTACCATGCCAGACAGGTCGGTTGAAGAGCGGTAAGACTAAAAGCAGCAATCCCAAGGTCCGAAGGCGAAGTCGTACTGCCGACTGTACAGAGGTGTGACGGCAGTAAGGTGTTTCCTTCAGACAACCAGCATGACAGCGATGCTGCCTTCCCACAAGGAGGGGTGGGGTTAGAAAAGGTCGACCCTAAAAATGCACACCTCGCCTTATCCCACGGATTTCCGTCTCCGGCGGTAAGGTCCTTTGAAGAACGAAGCTAACACAAAAACTACCCACAAAAAGGTCGTGTGTGACCGACCTCAAGCAGTTGTACCTTGGGCACTGCGGTCACGCTCTCAGGTCATTAAGACCACTTCTAACCCAATTTCCTTTTCAGGTACCCCTAGAAGAACCCTTCCACGGTGTGGGCAACCGGGAAGTGATAACTGCCCTCATACCTTTAACAACACTCACCATGGCCGACTATTCTAGTGCGCGAAACACTCTCCCAGGTCTACAGAAACAAACTGCACATTGGAGCCTTCAATGTATGCACATAGTGCTCCTTGCATGTGACTTTTATGTCCAAGTAGGCAGCTCAAACTAAACAGAAAGACGTTTAGGTGAGTGTTTTAGTATTCCGGCTCAACGAACCGATAATGGTGATCGTCTGTTGCAACTATGCTCAGACAATCGTTTATTTTTAGCAAGCACTAATTTTAAGCATAAGGAGAGACATCGTCTAACATGGCGACCACCTTCACCAAACCAACGATGGACTCAAATAGACCATATTGTCATCAGTCATCGTTGGAGAGGCTCAATAGAAGGTTGTCGCTCGTAATGGAATACATGTTCAGACTCTAGTTACGCTTTAATACGAGCGTGCATTTGTTTGCGCCTCACTGGAAGCAGAAAAGACATACTAAGAAGACCCATTAGAATTGAACTGGGGGACGAGAAAGTCAGAAGTAAGTCACAGAAACAACTGAGTTTACATCTAGGCAGTTCTGTAAACGAGACTGACCCAGATGTTGCTTGGAAAGATATATGAACAGCTGTGGAAACAGCAGTAGCATCTATTAGTGATTTAAACAAAAGTGTACAAAAATCAATGAGTTTCTTCTAAGTATATTGCAAGAATAGTCTCTCGTAAACTGATCCCTTCAGGCTGCGAACACGATGAAGAGCGAAAGCGAATCAGATCTAGGTTAAACAAAAGTCTAAGGAACGACCATGAGCAGTGATTGGCAACGAAAGCAAAAAAGATGGAAAACGCCGCGGTTGTAGGCAACACCAGACGGCTCTTAAGAATAATAAAATAAACCTGAGTTGAGAAGCCAAGTATATGTGAGACAGTCTCGGGAAAAGGCGACACTCTTATGTGCCCTTAGCACAGATGTTTAGAACGATGGTCGGAACACTTTAAGAGGTAGTTAAGCTGACCTTCTACTATTCTACTGCTACCTGCCGTTTCCAAACAGTCTGAATAGAACACTAAAATGAACCCCCTGACTCTAATCGAAATCCTTAGAGCTATAGCTAATCTGAAACGAGGAAGAGCATCTGGTCCAGATGGATTATTCCATAAGTCGTTGAGGATGGTGGTCCAGGTTTTGCGATCGGATTGAATAAGACTTCAGGTAAAATCTGGGAACCAGATATAATCCCATCTGGCTGGTCGCAATCGCTGATTGTCCCAATATATAAGAAGGTGCCAAAATCATCCCGTGATAACCATAGAGCAATTAGTAGCATCTGAAATACTGTTTCAATAAATATCGAACACCTGACAAAGACTGAAGAACTACAAACACGAGAAAATCAGGCTGGCTTCAGACCTGGTCATGGCTGTATCGACCACATATTCACCATTCGTCAGGTTCTAGAACACAGGCATGCTAATCAGCATCCGACAATGATAGTTTTTCTTGACGTAATAACAGCATTTGACTCTG